TATATTATTATTAAATGAAATTTAGAATAGTCTGTAATTTTTTCAAGTAGTTCTTAACATATTGCATTTGCCTTACAACCTCCTTAATGTCAGCAATAAGAACTTTTTTTTAAGAAGAAAGTTATTGATATCATTTTGTTTACAAAATATATTGGAGTTTACTTATAAAAATTGAATACGTGATTGAAATTATAACATAAAAAAGAATAATTTTACCATCCTTAAAATCAGAATGTCCGTAAAACAAGTCTCTGCATGTCCTCGCCGGATTATCTCTGGTACCAATTGGCTTACGCATTAAATGCAATTCCTGTCGTATGTTATAAAAAGCCTTGTTTATGTCTGAAAGCTTCTTGTCGAATATCTCCTCTTCATCGCTAAAAATAGATGAAGAAAATAAAGTTCCCCTCTACAATCTAAAAATCTCTAAAATCTAAATTTGCTAAATGCAAACTTATAATTTAATTGCAAATATAAAAGTAAAACTTATAATGTTATAAAAGTGACAGTTTTTATGTAATGTTTGTAGATTTTTATTTTAGATTTAATTAGGATTCTTACATGTCCTCGAAAGCATCACGTTTTCTTCTGGCTAATTGGTCACGATATATCATAGGTGGTATTATTCTGTCAAAATCGGACTGTCCTATTGACAAGCCAGGCGGTCCTGGTGGGCCTGGCGGACCCGCCGGACCTAGGTCACCTCGCATCCCATCATTTCCAGCATTACCTTTTAGCCCAGGCGGTCCCAATGGTCCGGGTAGACCAACAAATCCTTGTTCCCCTCTAGGTCCAACCTGACCAGAATGTCCAGGATTTCCTTTGAATCCTTGTGTTCCAGGAAGTCCGCGATCACCTTTCTCTCCCCGTTTTCCATGATCGCCTTTAATTCCAATCAGTCCCGGTTCGCCTCGATATCCTTTAATTCCTCTACGACCTTTATCACCTTTCTGGCCTTTTAAACCAATCGGTCCAATAATCCCAGGAGCTCCAACAGCTCCCGGCATACCTACAATACCATTTTCCCCAGCCGCGCCTGGCAAACCTCTTTCGCCTGGTAAGCCAGGCAAACCAGAAGGACCTTGAGGTCCGACAGGTCCTTCAAAACCCGGCGCTCCAGGGAGACCGATATCTCCTTTCTCTCCTGGCAAACCTGTATTACCTTGCTGACCCGCAAGTCCTTCCGGACCCTAGAAATTAATAGTATTTAGAAATTTAAAGTTTTTTAATATTTAGGAATACTCTTATATACATTTAAAATTGCATTTTTAAATATCTAATTACGTCTTCAATTAATTATTGTTATATTTAAAAATAGATATCTTCTATCAAAGAATAAATTGAATTTTTTATACCGATTTCCCAGGAGGACCCGATAATCCTTCCTTGCCAGGTAGTCCAGCTTCGCCTGGTACGCCAGGATCACCTATTCGTCCATCCTCGCCGTCCTTTCCAGACTCACCTTTCGCGCCCATGAGACCGGGTTCTCCAGGCGGACCAGGAAGACCAGGTAACCCAGCATCACCTTTTGGTCCCTCGGGACCAATTAATCCTCGTAGTCCAGGAAGTCCAAGAAGTCCTAATTTACCTTCCTCTCCCTTTATTCCTGGTAGACCTCTTTCTCCCTTAAGTGCATTATATTATACATAATATTATAGCAAAATTATATATATTATTATTATAGCAAAATTTCTGATGTATAATTTCTAGTATGTATAATTCATATTACCTGTTTTCCCTCTAGTCCTGGCTTTCCGAGAGGTCCTGGCATTCCGTCATCTCCTTTTTCGCCTTGACGACCTTCCGGACCCGTCGGACCTTTTGTACCCTTAAGGCCCTTGGACCCTCTTAGACCTCGCTCTCCCGGAATTCCTAAAGGACCTATAGAACCAATAGTTCCAGGATCTCCAACTTCACCTTTTACACCTGGTTGACCTGGTAAACCACTCGGTCCTACAGATCCAGCAGGTCCAGTTGCCCCGACCGGACCGACCTCGCCTTTTGGCCCTCGCTGTCCAATCTCACCCGGTGGTCCTTTCTCTCCTGGAGGACCTACTAAACCAGATTCACCACGTGGTCCTTGTACTCCTTGCGGACCTGGAAAACCCTGTATATTATGTTAGTATGATTAAAATAATTATTTACAGTTTAAAATTATTTTACTTTTCAGTCAATTAATCGTACGTACTACGTCCCCTTGAGATCCTTTGAATCCTTTTTCACCAGGTGGACCTACGTTTCCTTTATCACCGTCTTCGCCCGGAGAACCAACTGGTCCGGGTGGGCCTGATAAACCCCGTTGTCCCGGTAGACCGTCACGACCTACAGGTCCAACTGGCCCAGGATCACCCTGTTAAATAAATCTATTTTAATTGTATATTGTTATTTAATTACATTGTCGCTAAAAACTATACTTTTTATTGTTGTAACTATATATACCGCATGTTTAAAAAAATATTAAAGATATTAAAAAACTATGAACAAAAACAAAAATAAAATTGTACGATCCTATCTGATTTGTATGATTACTTTTTCGCCTTTGAGGCCGATGGAACCCTCATCTCCTTTGTGCCCTTGTTTCCCTTCTGGACCTGGCGATCCGTCTTTTCCGGGTTCTCCTTGAATACCCTTGTCACCGGGTGGCCCTTGAGCTCCAATAAGTCCCATTTCACCCTTCAAGCCAGGCAATCCCTAGAATTTATAATTAATATTAAATATACGTCTCGTCATAATTAAATATTAAGTAATAATTAATGTTTATTAATATTAAATAATAATTAATATTTACATCTTACAATCCTTATTTTGATTATAACTAACCGGTAAACCGCTCAGACCTCTTTCACCTGGAAATCCTGGTAATCCGCCAGGACCCGGCGATCCTTTGAGTCCTGTCAAGCCAGATGGACCCGTCGGCCCTTCTTTCCCTTGTTCACCCGGTAAACCGATTTCACCCGGAGCCCCCGGACTACCAGATGCTCCAGGCTCGCCTGGTTGACCAGGTTCTCCAGATGGTCCTGGAAGACCAATAACACCGGGAATTCCCGGAGGTCCTGGAGATCCTGATTCACCAGTTGGACCACGCTCACCGGGTGGACCTGGTATACCATCTTTTCCATCGAGACCCGGTGGACCCGATGGTCCAGCGAATCCACGTGGACCTTCAACACCGGGAGGCCCGATCTCTCCTGACGATCCAGGGGGGCCCGGCTGACCAGTGTCGCCTTTTGGTCCTGGTAATCCTTCCGCGCCTCTTCTTCCACGAGTTCCTCTAAAACCCTAATATTTATATATAATAATAAGTTATTTAATTTAGTACAATTATTTAATAATATTTATTTTCCATTTTTAGATATTTTATATGCTTGAAATAATCAATAAAATAATTTTAATTACATTTACTTGCACATGCGAATTAATTTTGTAATCATAAAATGTATTATACATTTGCAAAATAAAATTTACCCGTGGGCCCGTTGTACCTCGTTCTCCTTGTAATCCGCTGTTTCCCTAAAAAAGAAAGAAACAAAAACAATGTCTTTTAATAAAAAATATTAAAACTAATATTAAGAATTTCGCGTATATTCATCAACATTACTCTTTCTCCTTTATCGCCGCTTGATCCTTGAATTCCTAGTTGCCCTTTGTCCCCTTTTTCTCCAGGATTTCCAGGATAACCAACGTACCCTGGTAGGCCTACCTTTCCCTTTTCTCCAGGCAAACCAGCGGGCCCAGTCTCACCACGAAGTCCCTCAAAACCTTTCGACCCTTCCAAACCTTCAAGGCCAGGAATGCCCTGCGGACCTGTCGCTCCGGGCTCTCCTTTCGCTCCGGTGTCACCTTTTTCGCCTTCCAAACCTCTATCACCTTTTTCACCGCGTTCACCTGCTACGCCACGTTGCCCCTCATCGCCCTTTACACCTCGAACACCCGGAAATCCCACCGGTCCCTGTAAACCCGATGGACCTTGCTCGCCCTTTGTCCCTGGGATTCCAGGATTGCCTGGAAGTCCAGGAGATCCATCAGCACCCGAAAGACCTGGAATTCCTGGTTTTCCTTGTGGACCCTTTTAATAAAATTTGATTAGGTTGAATACAATCAAAATCATGGTATAATCAGAAATTTTATTATGCAAAAGTAATTTATTTCTACAACTTACAACTAAACCGATCGGCCCTAGTGGACCCTGAGGTCCAGGTGGTCCTATTGAACCTGTAGGTCCTGATTGTCCCGGTGCACCAGGTGGACCGAGTGGACCAGCATTACCTTTAATACCGGGTGGCCCTTCGTTTCCAGGAATACCGGGATTACCTGGTAATCCAGCAAAACCTCTTGGTCCAATAAACCCTCTCGGACCCTATTCCGTTTAAATTTTACTTATTGTTCTACACAAATAACTTATATTTACAATATTACTTTTAAATTATATTTTGCTATATATATTTTTTAAACATATCCTTCTTTTAAAAAATATTTCAAATTCTAAATAAATATATTTATTTAGAAACAGCATTATCTTTTAATATTCTTTTTTAAAAATAAAATTGTAATATATTTACCAATTCACCGGGTAGACCTGGTAAACCTGGAGGACCATCTTCACCCTGCATTCCTTCGTGACCAGGCAAACCTGATTCACCAGGTTTACCTGAGGATCCCCGTTCGCCTTTATCACCTGGTAGACCTGGTAATCCTATTTGCCCTTGCTCTCCTTTCATTCCTGGCAGTCCACTGAGACCGCGTTCGCCGTCTCTGCCGGGACGACCTCTCCTACCCTCTCTGCCAGGATTTCCAGGACTTCCTGTAACAAATTTTTTTTTAATTCCTGTGAGAGGCGAATTTACAGAAATCTTATAATTTGTAAGAAATTCATTCCACAAGATTAGCCTTGAGAAACAGCAATTTAAATAAACTACAAAAGAGAATTACAAAATCTTTTAATTAATCTCTTAATATACAATATACGTCAAAAATTATAAAAATATATATAAAAATCGGTAACTTAGCAAAAATTATATTCTTATCTTTTGCAAGTTACAAACTTGTTCTGTACCTTGATCCCCTCTAAGTCCAGGTTCGCCGATTTCACCAGGTTCTCCTTTCTGACCTTGAGGCCCAGGCGGTCCATCTGGACCCGGGACACCTGTAAGACCCATCGGGCCTTCTACGCCTCTCATTGCAAGCATATGTTGTGATATCATCTGCCGCAACATTTCTGCCTGAGAATCCGGTCCTTTTTCGTTGCCCTGTTGATTCAACGAGGGTATCACGAAGACGTTACCTGGCGGACCAGATACACCTGGCAATCCGGGCAATCCATCTCGTCCGGGTTCGCCCTTCTCGCCGGGAGGGCCGAGTACTCCTGGCGGCCCAGGAAACCCACGGAGCCCAGGTGAACCTCGGTTATTATAACGCTTTATATATTCTTCGTCGTAAGGGTTATTTGTCGATTCTCCGTAATTCTGCTGATGATTTGATTCCGCATTATACACATTCGCCATCGTCGTTATTTCCACTTCGTAAGATGTCTGAAATTATTTAACATCAATATCTGTGAGACTAAGATTCTATCGTAAAACTCATAAATATAATATCTGTCATAATATATATACACATTTATATAATTTAATTTTAAATAATACAATGTTTAATTTAATGTCTTCAAATTATTACAGTAAAATATTAATTTAAATTTTTGTAAGATTATTATGGATTTTTTTCTTAAGATTAGTCTTCTTAAATATTAATTTATTTCATTTATTTAATTTTATTTGTTCTTACGGAATTCTTAGTCGCTGATGTCAAAACGTTAATTGTATTTGTTATTGTGCCATGAGGTAGAAAATCTCGGTTATCATCTTCATCTGAGTCACTCTCGTTTTCTTCTTCGTAATCATCTTCATTGAAAGATGAATTATAATTCAGTCCATATCTTGATTCACGTTCACAATCTGGCGCAAACGTTGTACAGATTTCGTAAGCAGCGTCTGGATTTAGAGCAATTTTCAGCATCTCAAGACTTCCCTGAATAGATATAAAACGTTCTCGTCATAAAATTTTATAATTGTAAATTTAACTTTTATCATCAAGTTTAATTACAGATCTTACAATCTCTTTAAGAAGGAAATTGTAAAAATTCTTTATCAACTTGTTTAATATTTTTTATTCTATATTATATTATCTTGAATTCTTTGCTCACCAGATATAAATCACCCTTAAGTTGTTGTCCAATCATAAGGATGCCAGCAATTGTTTTTTCGACATTCTTCCGCAATTTTTTCGTAATATGTCTATTGCAATCGAGAATAATCGTAACGGCATCTCCCTTAATACTAACTCCTAATCGATGCCATTGCCCGTCGGAAATACCGACATCAAAAGAAATAGGTTCATTTCTGTTGTCTGGATTTGTGCTATAGAAAAATTCAATATTGCGCCCCAACGAAAGAATTAACTGTTCTTCGCCACTATCACCGTAGATAGTAAAAAGTACCGACGTGGAGTAATCTACGAATATCAATGAAACAAAGACTTTGATTTATAAGACAAAAATAATAATCTTTGAGTAGTTTTTATTAATAAAATTCAACAGTTTTTTTTTTGTTTCAATAAAGATTCAGGAAATGTTTGTAAACCATTATATTTTGAACTAATTTTGCTAAATAAACAAATTTTATATAAATGACAAAATTTTATATATTTCATATGGCAGAATTTTTTAATATCTAAGATCACTTTAAAATTATTTTGTATTATTTTTTATAAAAGAGTCTGCACTTTGTTGAATTAATAATATCATTATGGATATACGCATGTCCAATTATAATTATCTGCGAATAATTATGATATACATTACCTTTGGACGTTGACTCGTTAGCTCTCGGCTTTGCAACAACCAAGATAGAAAAATCTTGTGGTATGCCAGCCGGAAATAATACGTTGGTAGGAGCCATCAGAATCGCAGCTTCCATAATATCGTACGCGATCGTATCATCTCTGCAACGACTTTCCGTTCTTCTCACTCCGAAAAGTTGCTCTTGCATCCCCATAGCTTCAATTATATCAGTCACATTCTTCGCTAAATTGAAAAGAAAATTATAGCTAAATTAAAAACAGCACGACATCAAGTATAATAGATATCTAACGCATTTATTGTTTCTTCAATTTTAAAACAAATTTTTATTTTTCTTTTTTAACATAACAATTGAATAATTGACACGTAGCTAAAAATGAGAACAAACAGATATAATAGGCACAACTAGAAACCCAGTAACCCGTGAACCCGTAAGTCATAACTTAAATCGTTGGAACGAACGTCTAGACCAATTCAAGAAGATGCCACTCGACTGCAACATGCAACTTTGCATGCCACACATACGCATCTTAATTAATGCAATAGGGACCAGTTAGAAACGCATATACCGGCAATAAATTCATATTGTTCAGAAGAAATATGAGCTTTCTCTCTCTCTCTCTCTCTCTCTCTCTCTCTCTCTCTCTCTCTCTCTCTCTCTCTATATATATATATATATATATCTATCTATCTATCTATCTAGCAAAAAAAATAATTTTTACTTTAAAAATTTATCAAAGTTAATTATTGTTTAACTCGTTTAGTTTATGCTTATCACGCAAAAATTTATTATAAAGATTATATATGTATAATTCATATTTCTCTAATAAAATTTAATTATAGAATTCATTTTTGTTCTAAAAATCTTTATAACTATTCGATAATAATCGTAAATATTTTATTACTATTGTATTTTGGAAACAAAATGAATTTTAATCTATATTTATAAATAATATAAATCCTTCTTATTTTGGAAATCTTTCTATACGTTTCAAAACTTGAAATTAGAAACTGAATAATTTCTATGGCAAGAGAGAGAGAGAGAGAGAGAGAGAAATACACTTTTAACTACATTAAAATAAAATATGTTCAAAATAAAATATAACTACGATCGAGAAAAATTTAAAAGCAAATTTTTAAACACGATCACTCGACATTTCTAAAAAGCATTAAGCCCAAAATTATCATTTTGCACCAAGACACGCAAAGTGCTAAATATCGCTAAATATTGAGATTCTCAAAACTTACATGCGTCTTGCAGCGCAGCATCCACTGCGTTTCGCTGCAAACCGGATAGGATGAGCACCATCAAAAACAATGAATGTACAAGAAGCATGATCCACGTAGATCGCAGCGTTCTCCATTGTCTTCTCGTGTGGTCCAGTAGCCGCATGATCTTCACGCGTCAAAACATACTTCAGCTAATTTTCCGATACGTTTCATACACGTGGGCTCATCAGAGATACGACACACGAGGTCCGCGATTACAGAATCTTCGTGATAATGTGATATCTTTTTCCGATCATCGAAATTCCTGCTTTCTAACTATTGTTTCTATTTCTCTTTCTTTAACTCTCAACATCCTTCCTCGAAATTAACACAATACATTAATCCCGAATGTGGCTACTCCTCTGAACTATTTCCTCTTTTCCCTTTGCTTATCCCTTATTCAAACTGCGTTCCTCTTACTGTCTAGTTTTCTCCTGCGATGTATGAATGCAACTGTCGTCTATATATAGATGATACTTGCGTTCCATACATGTACTTTTTAGTGATGGTTCCATATCTCTTCTATTAACACTGATTCGTATATGACATAGGAGACAGATCGCAGGGTGCAGTGTCATCGGGTTAGTCCCTCCTTTCCTTCAGACATGATATAATCGAGAGCATCACTATGAGTTGCAAAAATAAATTAGAAGGAATCGACAAAATTTTATTTTATAAAACTACGGATTTCTAATTTTTATTATAAGAATTTCATCTAACAATTTTAAGTTTTCTGTTTGTTTTCTTTATCTGTTCGAATTAAAATAATCGTTTAAACAGCTGACATAACTCATTTCTTAGAAATTTTCGCTTAACTGATCCCCATACATTGCTTCCTTGAAGCATGACTTGCCAAGAATATTATATTACACTGTATTCATAATTAAGAAAATTATTTAATTACTTTTATGAAGAATATATAAAATAATTATAACATATATTAGATATATTATGTGAAAATAGAATAAAAAATAAAGAAATCAAATAGCTTTTCAAACTAATTTACGATTTTGAATATACAAATTTTATTTTACAGATCATATTTTTGTCTCATTTCTATCTATTTTATAATTATACTCAAAAAGAGTAGATACAAAAAATTGCGTGAATATATCTTTAAGAAGAGTACGCTATATATAGCAATTAAGAAGCGTAATGGTCAGTGACCGAAGCACTAAGTTATTATGAACTTTGACATCTCATATCCTCATTGATTGCATATACGTTTTGACTAGTATCTTCATATTTCTTCTTTTGTTATATAATATAGATTTGACATAAAAAATCTCAATTTATCTTAACTAATATAATAACTAACATTTTAATTTATATTAGAAATTATAATTATCGATGTCTATTCTTAATAATGTGTGATATCTTATTAATAAATCTATTTCATAATAAAAATTTTCTTGTTTCTAAAATATCTTTTTATTTATTTAATCTTCCTGATGTATATTAATTAATACAATATAAATATCTTTGTCTGCTCTACTGTTTCCGGTGCAATAACAAAGGATATCCATACAATTCTATACCAACTCGAAGGAGAGACCAGAGGTGCGTTCCGTATCGCGCATGATGTGCATGATGCATCCATTGTCCTTGTTTAACATTTGGTGAGCAACAAGGATAAACGATGCATTATGCGCATCATGCGAGAAACGGAACGCACCCCAGGCCTGGGATCGAGACGAGATTTTGGTGAGCAACAAGGATAAATGATGCATTATGCGCATCATGCGAGAAACGGAACGCACCCCAGGCCTGGGATCGAGACGAGGAATGCCATGATATTTTTCTCTGTTGTCGTCAATTGTTTACAACAGCGAATCACTTCTAATTATATACATATAGTCACACAATTACGCGCAATTACGCGACAGTCCGGATCTACAAGCTTGCCGCAGCACAGTGGGTCAGGAGACCCCAAAAACTGGCCAAAAGTGGCCAAAAGTCATTGGCAGCATTCGATTCAGAAAAGTTGTTATTTTTATCTAAAGGAATAAATGTACATGTATGCAAAATTTCAGAATAATGAGATTATTAATTTTGTGTCTACATACGTTTTCTAATTTAGAAAGTTGACTACAATTGCCGATTGATCGTTTTACCGCAAGCATTCCTTGTGTAATATATATTTATTCTCCAATGTTTTTAATGTATTTCATATTAGGTGTACAACTTTGCTTCCGCCATTTTCCTATAGATGGCTTTAGCGGTAAGTGATGGTCGAAATAAATAGATCATAGACGTCATACAATAAACTTGGG